ATCAATCTCTTGTTGACTTAGTCATACATCTTTAGTAGTTCTTTAATACACTCTAGTTTGTCATGGGCTTACATCTCTTTTACGATGCTTCGTTTTCTTCTTGGTCAATACACACCATGTCTCCACGATATGAATTCACCTCCTTTCAAAACTAGCTTTTGTTATGACCTTTCATCCTTTTTTTTTTTTTTTTAGTCTTGAAGAGCTACTTCTTATGGACAAAGAAGATGCTTCATCATGCATATATGATATTCCTTGATGTATAACATGGACCGTCTATGGTTACAACATTTTCATACTTTTCTTTTACTATTATAACTCACAAAGATACACCTTATTTCTTTCTTATTAAGCTTGCTATATAACTCTCCTGGTACTAACATGTAGCAAATTATTAAGCTTGCTATATAACTCTCCTGGTACTAACATGTAGCAAATACAACCAAAGACTTGGAAGTGACTTACAATGGATTTCATATAACATAATATTTGAAAAGGTGAAATAAAATTGGGTCTTGCTTGAGGCACTCAATTGACAGCGTGAGCTACTATTCTCATACACTCAGCCAAAACTTTTGGACATGATAACATATAAAAATATTTATATCTTTATTAGTCATTTATATTTTAACAGCAACAGTTATTAAAATTTCCAATCAACCAACATTTATTAGCTAACAATCATCAATCAAGACCATCACAAACTACCTGCTATCATAAACAGTTAAATTAAATAAATCTCAAGTGTGAAATCGGCAACACTCATTATTATCATATAAATTTTGATTGATTTAATATTAACGCTATATTGCAACTTTTTAAAAATAAAGAATAAATTGCCATTTTTCAATGACTTTTTTAAAAATAAAGAATAAATTGCCATTTTTCAATGACTTTGATTAACTAGATTTGTGAATAGTTACTTGTTGATTAAGTAGGAATTCTTTTTATTGGAAGTTAATTTTTTTTTTCATAATACAATTAAGAGAGATTGCCTAACTTTTGATTGAAAATTTTTCTTTAGAGTCTTGACCTCTAAGAACAAATAAACAGATAAAAAGTTCTTTTCATAATGATAGAGTCTTTAGAATGTTTAATTTTTTTTTTAAATTTATATTGATTGTGATGTGAAAGTCGTTTTGGATAGATTTTTTTTTTTCTTTCCACAATAATAGATCGTTTGGGGTTAAATCGTTTAAAAAACTCCAAACTTTACAGGTAGTTTTAATTGTACCTTAAATTCAGCTTTCTTTTTTTAGTACCCTAAACTTCAATTTTAGTTACAATAGCGCCCTAATTTCAAAATATAACCAATTTAATAAATAAAATATTATTTTCATTTGACCTACATGGTCAGGTTAACAAAAACAACTAAACGTTTAACAACACCCTCACTAATATTGGTTAGAATTTTTTTTCTTTAAATTCATAAAAAGTCAAGTAAAATAATAGATTTTAGTTAGTTATAAGCATAAAATATTAGTTTAAATTTTTATTTTGCCATTTTTTAAGTATGAAATTTTAGTTAGAGTTTATTGAAATTATACTAAGTTAGATCTCTTATAAAAATATATTTTATTCACATAATTTTATTTTTAGGGAATTATTTCTCATTGTCATTATATATAAATAAATAACAAGTATTTTATTTTTAAGACGTATATATTTATTTTTATTTTTTTATTTTTATTTTAATATTGAAAACAATTTGAAAATAATATTTTATTTATTAAAATTGTACCCAATTTAACGAATAAAATATTATTTTTTATTTTAATATTGGGTACAATTTGAAATTAAGACGCTGTTATAATTAAAGTTGAAGTTCAGGGTACTAAGAGAAAAAAGTTAAATTTAAAGTATAATTAAAACAACCTGCAAAAGTTTGGAGTTTTATTTTAATGATTTAGCCTTTGTTTTATGTTAGAAAGTTCCACAAGAATTTTTTTTTTTTTTATTTTATAGATTGAAAAATAATAGAAATAAAGGAAAAATAAATAATAAATCATAAGCTATTAGTCAATCAGAAACTAATATTTTTTTATCAAAAGAAAATCTTCTAAATATCTCAATTATATTGGCAATAAGTTTAATTAATCAATTTTCATTTTTTTTAGTATTAAAAAATTTTTGCTAGAAAGAATTGTAAATTTGTGTTAGTTGCATAGACTTGGAGACTTTTCTAAGTCTTCAGTATGCCGTAACTTATAGGATCAAGACTTTTTCAATCAGCTAATTACAACTTTTTAACCAAAAATTTACTAACTCAACCCAACTCATTATATTTTTAAACGTTAAATTGAAATGAAAAGGTTTTCTATGGACCGAGTATAGGTACTTAAAACGATTTTGAAATGAATACATGTAATTAAGTTCTAAACAGGTTTGAGTTTGAGTAGCTGAAATTAAGGGTACCCATTATGTTTCTTTCTCCATGTATAAGTAGGTATTCACCAGTCATGAGCAAGCAAAATTTGTAATTTTTTTTTTTTAAATTGCAGTGTTAAAGATGTAGGACCTAAAGCTGCATGAGAGAAGGCACGGTTTGCGTAATAGTAAGGGAAAATTATAAACTTATTCTCATATTATGTCAAAATAACTATTTAGTGTTACGTTTTTAAAAAATACACTAGTTTCTCTCCATATATTAATTACGCTCTTCTGTCAAATTTATTCATTTTTTACTGTTAAATTTATAGAAAAAGACTAATGCCCTTTTACTAATTTTCCTCTTTCTTCATTTCCCTTCTTGTTCATTCTCTCACTCTTCACTTTTTTTCCCCAAAAACCAGTAATATGTATGGTTAGTTTTTGAGATTTGACTTAATTTGTGAATAATATCTTTATTTTCAAAGTCACAATATCCTGTCTATTGTTTAATCATTTAAATTGATGATTAAGCTAATGAGAAAAATTAAATAATTAACAAAAATGAAGGTTATGTTTCTCCAATACCACTCTAAATATGAGCTATAATTCATTTCTTAGTAACGTATATATTAGCTTATAAGCAAAAGTAATACATTACTCTGTGGCCCAATGGATAAGGGCTGGTCAACAGAACCAGTTCATATAAAGGTTATATGAGCAAAAATATTCATTTCTTAAAATATATATATGTTATATAACCAACAATAATTAACAAAAAAATATAAATGACTCTGTGGCCCAATGGATAAGGCGCTGGTCTACGGAACCAGAGATTCTGGTTCGATCCCCAGCAGAGTCGTATAATTTAATATTTTTTATCTTTATAATTATTATTCAGACCTTTGAATAAAAGGGAGCGCAAAAAAGACAGTTTTTCATCTAAATATTTTCTTAAAATTGAACTGCATGTGTCAAACTTTGAATAAGCAAATTTTGAAATCACAAAGCTATCAATTTCATTGGTTTTTTTTTTTTTTAAAAAAAAAGAGCAATGTAGATATTGTTAACAATGATTAATACAAATGTAAATCAAATGTTGAAATTTTGCATTCTTTAACAAAAAAAAAAAAAAAAAAAAAAAAAAAAAAAAAAAAAAAAAAAAAAAAAAAAAAAGAAAAGAAAAGAAGAACTAACCAAGCTCAGAAATATGAGCATGAATAAGTGCTGCAAAGGAACCAAAAAGAAGAAACAGAAAGAAACTCCAATTGCAAGTTCCCATTCGTCATGTTGAAATTTTAACTTGAAGGACCTTTGTTATATGTATACACTCCAAATTGAAAATTAGTGTAATTGACCCGGTAACTGATTTAGGATTATGGTTTTAAATAAAATACAAACTCTGGGAACTACTTCCAGAAAGTTTAATTTACATGTATTTGGCATGTCAAAAACTTCCTGCAAAATGTATTAATCTCAAGTTAGAAAGAAACAGGGTAGCCATAATATAATCTTGTGTAACTTTCTCATGGATGGCTAAAGAAGTCCCTGGGTAAGTGTTAATGAATTTTTCAATTTATTTTATTATTTAAATCATTTAAAATTTATGTTACAAACATATCGTAGTTTGTAATTTGGGAGTAGTTTACTCACTGCAGATTGATTTTCATACCAAACACATCTAAATTATATTTTTTGGTAAATAATTCTTTAGAAGTGTATTTCTTGAAAAATAGACTATTTTCAACCAAAGGAGATCTATTTTTTAAAAAGTAAAATTGATAATGGAAACCAAACAAAAAACACAGGATGTGTTCACTTGTAGAAAACTGGAATAGTTTTCTAAAATAGTTTTTCATTTCAAAAAGTAAAAACAGTTTTTTAAAATTTAACTAAGGTTTGGAAAATAGCTTTAATTATTTTCCATGATTTTCTTTTATAATAAAACATATGTTTTTCACTATTTTATATTTTTATGAAATGATATTTTCGTAATTAAAGTTATAATATCTAGAAATAATATTTTATTGAATAAATAAAATATTTAAATAATATAAAAAATTATATTTATGCTTAATATATAATTAATTTTATTATTACAAATTATGCTTAATATATAATTAATTTTTTATTATTAACCAAATATATAATACATTATTTTAAATATTTAAATAATATAAAAAATTATATTTATGCTTAATATATAATTAATTTTATTATTACAAATATATAATATCATTTATTTTTAAAAAGTTTTTAAAAATGATAAAAGTTGAAAGTTATAAAAGTTATGCATAATGTTTGTGAAGTTTTTAAATTAAAATATAATTTTTATATTGTTACTGAGTGAACACATTTTCTATTTTCTGTTTTTAATTTTCATTTTATAATAAACTTTTTTTAAACAGAAAATAAAAAATAAAAAACTGTTTTTATAAATAAATACACCCTTTATATTTTATATTTTACGCAATTTAATCCCAACAAGACATCGTCTAATTTAAGTAGTGAGACGCACATAAAAAAGCCCGGATTAAATTAAACTCAGCTTTTTTTGGAAAAAAAATTAAACTCAGCATGAGACACACCGTTTCATAGCAATTACAAAAACAAGAAATCTAAAACAGATCCTTTAAATGGGTTTACTCCACTTCATTTCACCTCCTCTTTCTCTCTGTAATTGATGGACCACCCTCTCGCGTCCCTCTATTGCTGTCCCCTTTCTCCCTTTCTCCATCTCGCTGCAGCCTTCTACCATGACATATCTGTTCAACGAAAGTGTGATCTGAGAGAAGAAGACGGGAGATTATATTATCAACTGCCACAAAATGGGAAGAGCTAAGAAAGATGTGGAATGGTACGTATGAAGAACTCATAAGCTAGCTATATTGTGCAATGATATGACAATTTATGCTTGCAGAAAGTTACTGTGCATCCTAACACTAACAAGGGTATATATGTGCTGCAATTTTTTATTAATAAAAACATAGGGCTTTTATTATCTGAAATCTTTTTATATATAAATGAGGAGTGTTACAATAGTTTAATCATTTCCTAATTCACATACAGTGGAGTAAAAAATTGTTTGAAGAAATATTCTATGAATGTACAATTGTTTTTTTTTTTTTTTCTTGTATTTGGCTACATCTACACACTAAAGAAGTGTTTTTTAATTTTTCAATTTACCGAGTAAATGATGCTATTCTATGATTATAATCTTCCCTTTGAATAAGGAATGAATTATTCTTATTAGAACAGACTTGAGTTGTTATGAAAACTTTGTTCATATTTTGTTTGGAAAGGTATCCCCTTGAGGTCTGGGTTGGTGGTGTGATGAGAACCAGCAAGAGTGGAAGAACTAACTATATGGGTGGAAAGAGGATAAGGGATTGGGATACACAAACTGGGACCATCACCTACCATGAGCTATGTCAAAAGATTAGATATCATGGGTTTGGTGAAGTCCAAAGAGTGGGATATTTCAAACCAAAAATAAAATGGATGTCTTTGCAAATTGCTTCAACTGATGAGGAAGTTAAATTGATGTTTCAAAGAGGGAAGGAGCACAATTGGCTGAAAGTGTATATCGAAACAGATGTCCATGTAACTGAAAACATGGATTATGACCACAGCAATTATATATCAGAGGATGATTGTCCTGATGCTGATATGGAAGAATCTGTTGTGCAAGAAAGGCCTAAGGAATATACTCTTAATTTGTATGGTTGTGAGAATGAAGCTGAAGAAGAAATGGGTGGAAAGAATCCGGTTTTTCAACAAAAGCTTGATGAGGTTCCAGCTGAAACCCATTTGCATCATGACCATGCTAACTTCTGCGATACAAATGCCATTGATTCAACAATTCTAGATGGTACATTGGAAATAGATATTGGTGTTGATGGGTACTTTAGTCCATTTCTCAATGAAGATAGCAAAGACAGTGATGGAACTTCATTGGGTGAGCATGAACTGTATAATGAGGAGCTTATGATTGCAAGGGAAAATAAGATCAAAATGATAAATACCACAGTGGATCATGGTTCTGGTTTAGGTCTTGATGTTCCCATTGCTAATAGCCATCCTACACAACATGGTGCTGATCAATTCAAGGAAGAGAATGATGAAATGACAGCTGGGACTGGTCCTATGATTGTGAGTGAGTATGAGGCAACAAATGAAGAGTTCTCCTCAACATGCAGTAGTGAGGAGGGAGTGTTAGAGAGTAAGAAGAGAAAAAGTAAAGTAAACAATGTTTATGATCCTTCTTGTGACTATAAGAAGCTGCAATTTAATGTTGGTATGATTTTCTGTAGCAAACAACAATTAATGTTTGCTGTTCGGAAGTATGAACTCTATAATGGTTTCAATGTGGAATGGAAAAGGAGTGAGGCCACAAAAGTTGACTGTAGGTGTAGAGAAAATTGTCGTTGGAGGTTGTATGCCTGTACTAGAGGTAGTGATAACTCGTGGGTAATTAGGACATACCAGGAGGATCATGTTTGTTTTAGAATCGTACCAAATAGGCAAGCAAATTCTGATTTCTTGGTAACAGAATCCCTCAGTCAGTTAAGGGAGGATCCTGATTATGGTGTTGATAAGATGATCAAGGAAATGAATGAGAAGGATGACATAACAGTTGAGAAGCATGTTTATTATAGAGCTAGAAATAAAGCCATGACAGGTCTTAATGGGTCACTTGAGTCACAACATGCAAAGATGAGCAGGCATGGAGTTGGTATGCAATGCCAGCTTTGCTTGGATTATGGTCATAATAAGCGAGGGTGTCCGAGGAAATATAACCTGCCTGCTCCTAGAAACACTTGAGTCACAACATGCAAAGATGGAAGCAGGCATGGAGTTGGGTTTGCAATTTTGCCAGCTTTTGGCGTTGTGGCGGATCATATGGGTCTATTAATATGGCTGAGGGTGTTCCGAGGAAATATAACCTGGCCTTGCTCCTAGAAACCAGAAAGCTGTAGGATATGCAGAAAATTTATTCAAGTGTATATCTTGATACTTGCCTTTAACACATATATCTTAAATTCTCTTTTTTCTGGCCCCTACTATCTATATTATTATGGTTGCAATTAAATAGGCAAGCAAATTCTGATTTCTTGGTAACAGAATCCCTCAGTCAGTTAAGGGAGGATCCTGATTATGGTGTTGATAAGATGATCAAGGAAATGAATGAGAAGGATGACATAACAGTTGAGAAGCATGTTTATTATAGAGCTAGAAATAAAGCCATGACAGGTCTTAATGGGTCACTTGAGTCACAACATGCAAAGATGAGCAGGCATGGAGTTGGTATGCAATGCCAGCTTTGCTTGGATTATGGTCATAATAAGCGAGGGTGTCCGAGGAAATATAACCTGCCTGCTCCTAGAAACCAGAAAGCTGTAGGATATGCAGAAATTTATTCAAGTGTTATCTGATACTTGCCTTAACACATATATCTTAAATTCTCTTTTTCTGCCCTACTATCTATATTATTATGGTTGCAATTATTTGTTGTTAACTGTTTATGCTGAAAGTTTGTTAAGATTGGATATGATAGACAAACCTACAATTAGAAACAAAAGAAAACTGAGAAGCTTTAATTAATATGATTTGCTTTTCTGTGCATTTGTTAAGTAAGCTGTTTTTCAGAATGTTTGGAGGTACTGTTTTGTTGAGCAGCCATTGAGGATCAGCATTTCTTTGGTTAAACTGATATAATGACCACACTTTGACTTTATTCTACAATAATCAATGTTTTGTTTTGTTAAATGGTTCTTTTTTCTTTTCTTTTTTTTTTTTGGTAAATCACTCGGCATTCGGCAAAGCCGACTAATCCAGATTCGGGTTCTGTGGAGGCCCATTATTGGGTTGACCCTCCCCATCCAGTTTTTTCTATTCACAATGCTAAGGTTTAAATTCTGGACGTTGTTTAAGGGATCTAGCGCCTCTTCCCATTGGATCAACTGGTAGTTGGTTGTTAAATGGTTCTTTAATAGTAGTTGATTTGATTGTTGCAACACTAGTATTATGTTTCATCAGTAATTATCATAAATGATTTAGCAGAATATATATCTTAATTCTTGAAATTCGAGGTGTATATTCTAAGCTAGCTTTATGGTAATTATCATAAATTTGTCACATCATCACCTGGTGGATGGGACTTAGACTACTGTGGTTGGGCCGAATGGAATTCATCCCATGTCTATGTACTCTACAACTTCTTAAATAATCAGTTGCAATGGTCGATTTCCTAGCCTAATTGGATTGCTATTGTATTTTCAAATTAAAAAAAAAAAAATTATGTTGGCTTAAGTTATAACTCATTTCTTGTTTTAATAATCCATTATGAACTAAAGTTGTTGAGAGATGATCTTAAGGTAACTATGGGAGCTTGTTGTGCAATATTAAATGAAGGAAACCATCAAGTCGAACTTAGGTCTGTTTTGTTGTTATGCTTGTCTAAATGCTTGAGGTTCTATTTTCTGATTTCTTCGTATACTACTTCCTCCGTTCTGTTAATTTGACCATTTTTGACTTTTTTTTTTTTTTGTTCCCTTTAGACGACACTTTTAGAAAATTAAAGTAATGTTAATTATTTTATTCTAATTTTGTCCTTATTTAGATATTTGCACTAAACTTTATTTCCATTAAATGAACTTTAACTAAAAATTAATTTAGTAACCTTTTTATTTTCTAGAATTGAAATAATTCAATTATTTTTTTAATTCCTATGTAAAGTCAAAAACTCTCAAATTTAACGGCACAGAGAGAGTACTCAGTAAGCATGTTTTTAGCGCGTGGTTTGCATGTATAACGTCATTTGCATGTATGACATGACCATCTACGTTAAGGTTCCTTTATAACCTTATGTTTATAGACATTACTAACAGCAGTTATCATGAACTTTGGATGAGCTTTCCAAAAAGTTCTTGGTAAATTAAATATATTTTATTCTTCTATTTTTTTATTATAGAATCTCACAGGTATTGAAAAATGGACTTGGAAAAGATGAAAGTTTCGGAAGCATGTTTTTTATCCTCTGTTTGACAACTTGATTATTTAAACTCATTGCTAGTGTTGTATGATCATAGAGAAAGGGTCCAAGACTGTGGAGAGATCTGATACGAACAATTCAGCAGCAGATGCTTCTGGCAAGACGGCTGTGGCCTTAACCTTTGTTAAAAGAAACGCGACCAAACAGGTTAAGGTTGCAGTTGAAAGAATTATTCCTACATTTATTCATTTAATGCATTTGCATACACTACTTCTATTCAAAGTGATAGACAGTCCTACACCACTTGACTATATTCTCATCTTTGTGAAATTTGCTTTTAACATACATTTGCATACATCTACTTCTATAATTCCACAGGTAAAGCAAGGTTATGCACGGGTAAGATTTATTGCATTTATTGCTTCCACTCTCTACAATTATATTTAAGGAAATCAACGTATTCATGATCTACTGTTCATTAATATTCATAATGAATTTTTAAAGATGCCTGGAGAAACTAGAGTGGAATATGTAACTAGGAAAAGAGCCATTGTAGAGGCAACTAGGAAGAAACTCAAGTCAATCAAAAAGTGAAAGGAGAGCTATGTTGGGGAACAGCCATGGGCAAGGAAGCAACTCTGCTGGAAATTCTGGTACTCAGCCTCATACCATTGAAAACCCATTTTAAACAACATTGAATTGAAGCCAGCTCAGTCAATATAAAGCTCATGTGGGTTGTCAAAACTAGGAAGACGTGGCTTTCTTCTTTTTGATTTAGGTTACAGATACTGCTAGCTGTTCTATGTAACTAATTATCATTATATGCTAAAACAATTGGGCAGATGATCTTTTTGCAGTGCTTGGCTATTCAGGTTAGGAATGTTTATAAAATTAGGTGTTGTTGATATAGGAAGGGGAAACTCTGCAACTAGCTTTTTTTGGGTGATGCAAATGTAGATGATGCACTTTTTTGGTATACACAAATGTTTAGCTATTAGATTATGGAATGTAGATATATGGGTGAACATAATTTGGATGCTATGTCATCAAGCAGGTGATTCAATCATTTGTAACTAATTGAATCATCTCTTGGAAGATTAATCTCAAATTTTTCTTATATCTCTTGTTGGACTTTAAAAGCACAAGTAACAAATAGGGCACAGGTTCTCTTCCAGCAAGATTTGCAAAAATTACAATGTTATTTAGCACAATTGTTCAATGTTCAGGTTTAATCAAATTATTCAGAGTTTGTAAACTAACGCCATCAAAATTACTTGTGCTTGTATGAATTAACAAATCCAGCTGTCCGCAGCTAAAATTACACATCAATGGCAGATACATCAAGCTGCCCTTTTGAAATAGGAATAAAGTCCAATCAGGCTACTAAACTTGTTTAACAAGATCAAAAAGGTCAATTTATTCTAATTTCCTCTCTAAACTTGTTTAGCAAGATTAAAAATATCATATTTGACCTTTTAGGCTAATTTAGCTTTTTAACTTGTATAAAATGATTAAAAAGATTCAATTTCAATTTTTAAAACAATTTAACTTTTGAATTTATTTAAAATGATTTAAAAAATTATATTTAACATTTTGAGTTAATTTAACCTCTAATTTTTTATTATACTTACAATGTGAAAATCATTATATAGATATTTATTAAAAATTTATTTAAAAATTATATTTAAACATTTTGGGAAGTTAATATTTAACATTTTGAGTTAATTTAACCTCTAATTTTTTATTATACTTACAATGTGAAAATCATTATATAGATATTTATTAAAACTGTAATTGAGATTGAGTTAACTAATTTATTAAAAAATTAATTAATTATAAAATATAAGAAAATGATATATGAAGTATATTATTTTGCTCTTTATCTTGATTAATGATTTTGATTTTATAAATATATATTAATTTGAATATTTTAAAATTAACCTCTATTACTAGGTTATCGCTTATGAAATCAATGCATTTTTTAGGTTGAATAATTTAAATTTATAATGCATGTTTATAAATTTATTTATAAATTTAATTATATTATAAGAAATGATGTTTTTTTGAATTTTCATTTATATTGTAGAAAAAGTTTATAGAGGCTCCTTATGGTAGGAAAAAATGAATAAAAAGTCAAAATGTTAAATTAAAATCAATTATTAATTTATATAAAATAAAATTAAATCAATTATTAATTTATAAAAATAAAATAAGTTTAAGGGTTAAATTGATTTAAAAAGTGAAATCGGATCTTTTTAATCATTTTATACAAATTTAAAAGTTAAATTGGCCCAAAAGGTCAAATTGAAATTTTTTTATCCCGACCAAACCCCTGTTCCTTTTGAAACAAGACACTTTACGTCCATATCATGGTAGTAATTACATGATTCTTAAATATTTTGATCACTTATAACACTGGTGTTATTAATCCCAGTGGACATTTATTTGACATTGAATTGAATTGGGTGGATGGGTAACCCGTTGATCAATGGGTTAATGGTTCATAAAATATTGAAAATGTATACTAATTAAATATTTTTATAAATATTTTCCCAAATTTACAAAATTAAGTAGTAAGTAAAAGGGCAAAAAAAAAAGCCAAAAGTCAAAGATGGTAATTAACTCTTGATGCTGACTTTACTATTTTTAATTCGTTTCTCTCTTCTCTTTAGCCTAACAGGTAAGCCACCTCTTTTCTTAAGAAGCATTGTTATGACGTAAGGCGGGTCCATCATCCTCTCTACATTTGCACCTTCGTCAATAGCCAAGATTTCAAACTCATACATGACAGCCGCTGCAATTGCTTTCATTTGTATGTAAGCCAAATCCTTTCCCAGACAAGTCCTAGGCCCACAATGAAACACAGGAAATCTAAATTGATCGGACGGCTGATATTTCCCCTCTTTATCCAACCACCTCTCAGGCTTGAACTCCCTACAATCAGGGCCCCACACTTTCTCCATCCTGCCCATTGCATAAGCAGAATAATCAACAGACGACCCTTTTCCTACGTGGGTCCCATCCGGTAAAACATCATCATCCACCGCTAATCTCGAATTGATTGCTATGGGTGGAAACAACCGCATCGTCTCCGATAGACACGCATGCAAATAATGAAGCTTCTTCAACTCATCATAGCTAAAAATCCTTGCCCTGATTTCCTCCACCGACACCGCCTCTGATTCCGGCGGCGTTCCTACTTCAGTCAGTTCTTGGTAAATCAAATATCCACAACGAGGGTTGCCGGCGACTAGCCAGAAAAACCATGTTAAGACCGTTGAAGTAGTGTCTTTGCCAGCAAGTACAAAACTTATAACAATATCTCTCAAGAACTTAATCTTATGTTCTTGATCTTGAAATTCAATATTAGAGCTCAAAAACATAAATCTTGATAACAAGTCTTGATTCTTGCCTGCACTTTCACTATTCTCTTCTTGTTTTGACTTGATAATCTCCAAAGCAAACTCGTTGATTATTTTAATGGCTTCTTTGAATCTCTTCTCTGATCCAATATCGAAAAATCTTTTAAGCTTCCATATGAATGGAAATGGAGATAAGAACCTTGAAAAGCAAATCTCCTCAGCATCATCAAAAGCTGCAGCAAAAGAACAATTTACTATATGTTCAATTTCTACTCCAAAAGCAACTTTGCATATAGTGTTGAAAGTGAACTTCCCTAACACTTGCTGAAAGTCAATGACAGAATTCTCATCACTTGCTTTGCATAGATATGGCATTAGGGTTTTGGACATTTCAGATCTGACTATATTTGATATAAAATGTTTGAGAGATTTAGTATTGAATTCGTAACTTGCAATCTTACGTTGCATAGTCCAAAGATGACCATCGACATTGAAGATTCCATCACCTAAGAGTTCATAAAGGTAATTGAGAAAGCGAGAGCCTTTGGTGTAATTAGAGAAGTTGGTGACAAGAAGGTGCTCCACATTCAGAGGGTCTGCAGTGCAAATGCCATAGAAGAAGGGGGAACTGACTTTGATAGTTGATGATGGGGTCTGGGAAAGCATGTCAGTGACCCACTCGTGGAACCGGTGGCGATTGCGGAGGAAACCAGGGAGGTTTCCGATGATAGGGTATGACTCTGGACATGGAGTTTTGTCTGGAGGCTGAGAAGTAGTTGCGATGAAGAAGATTATGGAGATAAGAACAGAAATGAAGGAGAGGAATAAGGTGAAGAAGGTGAGATCCAACATTTTGTGTGGATAAGGTGAAAGAATCGTCAAATGCGGTACTAATGTTTGTATGTTTATCGAATGTGGATAAATTGCAGCTTTGTCTGCTACTTAAACATTTTGAAGCTTCTACGTGTCATTTTTTAATCAACAATTTCGTCACGCTAATAACAAAGAAAGGGGGTAATTATTTACTCAGTCTAAAAAGATAGTCAATTTTATATTTTTATATAAATTAAAGAAATAATTATTATTATAGTGAAAAGACAATTTAATTTAATTTAATTTAATCATATAAATTTTTAAGTATTTAAGCCACAATCATATTGTGTTAGCGTTTGGTTTTTCCTAAATTTCTTATAGGCAAGTAAGGTTAAATGAAAAAGAAAAATTTTTATAAAAAAAGGCCAAACATTGACTAAACCAAACAAACCTCGGTTAGGGGATTTTTAACAGTTCAATTGATTTTTGCAATTAAAGTAATTCGATTAATTGAATGATTAAAATCTTTATAGTAAAAAACAAACCAAAGGCAAAAGGATGCTCATTGAATGACAATAATGAACTACTAATCACATTAATGTCCGCCACAATACCCATCAAAATTCACAAGCCTAAAATAGTTGTTATCCAATTGTTTCTGAGACAATATAATAAACAACGAAGACATGAAATCTTGCTTTTGAAGAAACAACTGGCCATGCCAAGATTTTATCCACACTATTCAAGGCAAGTAAACAAGCAGATCCTTGTAAACAGAAAATTAAATCTGGTTTTGATGCACCAAATGTTGATCAATACGACTTCCCGCAGTGTATCAAGCTCCCAGCACCCAAGAAAAGACCGAAAATGGCAGCGCTGCCTAGTGTTGAAAATTAAATCTGGTTTTGATGCACCAAATGTTGATCAATACGACTTCCCGCAGTGTATCAAGCTCCCAGCACCCAAGAAAAGACCGAAAATGGCAGCGCTGCCTAGTGTTTCGGGAATCGGAACCGTCGGTTCGAACCGGTCTCGAACCGCAACCGGAACTAGTGAGAACCGAAACCAGGCCGAACCAATTCGGTTCCGGTTCCAAATTTTCTGGAACCAAAGCCGCGGTTCCAGAAAACCGGCCGGAACCGGATTGGAACCGCTGGTTCCAGTCCGGTTAGAACTGCCAGTTCAAACCGGTGGTTCTAGCCATTGTAACTGTCAGACCAGTTTTTTTTTTTTAAATTTTGTTGTGAAATCTCTTAATTACCCCTCCCAACAGCCATAAACGACTACATAACGGCTAGTTTCAAGGGTACTTTTAGAAAAATGATTTTTTGGATTTATTATAAATACCTCATTTCATTTACAAATTCATTACAAAAAAATCTCAACTCTCTCTACTTACTCTCTCTACAATCTCAACTCTCTTGTGCTCTCTCTGTCTCTCTGCTTCTCTCTTCTTCTCTTCTCTCTTCTCTCCTCTCTCTCTTGCTACTACCTTTTTTCTTTACAGATCTGGCTCTTCTCTTGCTCTGTTTTTCTATTTGTTTTCTCTCTTCTGATGTCGTCTTACTTTCTTTTTCGTTCTGCTATTTCTTCTCTTCTCTTTTTCTTCGTGTTGTGTTTTTTATTGTTTTTTGGTGTTGTTTTCTCACTTGTTCTTTTCACGCTTTCTCTTTTCTTTACCCCTTGTTTCCTCTCCCCGTTACTCTACTCTCTACTCTACTTCTCCATTGTCTCTCTCCTTCTTCTGGTCTCTTCTCTACTGTCTGGCTCTCCCTTCCTGTTCTTTTCTTGCTCCATAATTTGTCTCCAACTCATTTTTCTTATCTTTTTCCTCTTTTTGTGCTCTTATTTTCTATGCCTCTCTGCTCGTGGGTTCTCACTCTCCTCTTCTGAGTGTCTTTCCATTCTTCTCTCTGTGTATTTCATTCTTTTTCTGCTTTTCTGTTGTCTGTCTGTTTTCCTTCTTTTTAGCTCTCTTATGCTTGCTTACTCTCTCTAATGTCAATCCTCTTTTTGGCATGGCTTTTTTCTTCACTCTCTTTTTTTATGATTGATTCTAATCTACCCTCTTCGTTTTCTATATCTGGTCTGACTTCTTCGTTTTCCTATCTCTCGTTCTTTTCTTGTTACTCGCTACTCCTTCTTTCTACTTATCTATGGAGCTCTGCTGCTTCTTACTTACTCTTATCTCTATTCCTCTTTTGTTCCTTCTTGTCCGCTTGCCTCTTCATAGACGTGTTGTGCTTTCTCTCTCTTGATAACTTTTTTCTGACTGTTTAGATCTATTGTCCCTCTTCTAACTCCGCTGCTTGTTTTTTCTTATCTATTTCTCTATTCTCTCGCTTCGTGTCTTCTTCGTCTTTTTTTCTGACTTTTTATCGTTCACCTGGATTCTTCATCTTTCTTGGATACTCTCAGGTTATGATCTTTTGTTTCTGTACCGGAACTTTTCCGTGCTTCTTCTCATCGCTTTTCCTATTATCTCCCTTGGTAGCGTCTCCTCCATATTTGTGCCCTACCTCCCGTATTATATCTCCTAAGCCTTTATCGGCGGCTCGCTTCCGGTCTGTTCTAACGGTCCTCTATGCCTCTCGTCGTCTGGCCTTGGCATTTTATCCTTTCTTGTTGCTACTTTGCTCACCAGTCTTCTACTCTCTTGTTCTCTTGCGATGGCCGCTTTTCTATCTTGTCTTATCTCATCTACCTTTTCTGCTCATATTACTTCTCTCGATGCTTATAGAAACGGGACCTCTCTACTTATCTCTCTACAATAGTACTGACACTTTAAACTCTACTTCTCTAACAATAAGATTACTCTCTACTCTATATTAATTGCATTTAATTTTTTCTAATCTACAATCTTCTCTTATTAAGTTATTATCTCTCTAGAATTTTTTTTTATTAATTTTTCAAATTATACTCTTATTAATCATATAAATAGCAAGTTGGAGGAAATCAATTCGCAGGAAGGGCAAGGAAAAGATGGAGAAACACAATATTCATCTATCCCACAAACGACATCTAGATCTCAACTCCCAACAATTTAATTTTGAACGATATCCAAATAAAATTTGGAATTCCAAACTCAGAAATCTGAATTTAAATGAGCAATTACAAAGAAGATGGAAGATCAAGAGCAAAAGAGCATAAACGAGCACAATTGTTTGAAGAGCAAGACAAGTTCGACATTATTCGCCATTCATTACACGAAAAAATTCAAAGGTGAGAAAATGTACGATTTAATTTGTAATTATTGTGGGAAATTTATAAAACTTTAAACAAACGGGCGGCTATATGGATCATTTGGAAAGCATTTGGAGCCAAAACATCCAACAAAAATAGGAGTTTTGATCCAGTCTCAACACAAATTTCGGGTAAACCATCCTCTAACCTTTCCTTTATTTCATTATTCTAGAAATAAAATAAAAAAAGAAGAATTAGAAAAAAATGATTTCTAATGGAACATTTAGCTTTTAAGTTTTGTGAAAAAGTAGGTTTAATATTATTGTCCAAAAAGCTTTTAAAATCTTCTCTAAAGAGTGCCAAGAAAATAAGCTGTTAAAATGACTATATTTCTTTTATATAAATATAGGAAAAAAAGATAGCTATGAGCTGTGTGATGCTTATCACGCTTTCAAATTGAAAATTCGTGTTGTCAATTTGACTTGTGACATAGATGTAAATAAGATCATGTGCAAGTTGCATTCTGTATGAAGGGATGGGTATTAACAAAGAGTTCGCATTGGATTTGATGATGTGAGTTCAGAAAGAAGTAATGGTTTTATCGTGTTATGTGATGATTCACATATAGTGCTTGCAAGAATAATATTTAAGAAATTAACATTGGTTTCATTTTTAGAGATAGCATAGAGTAAAGGTGTTTGAAGCAACGTAGTATGAAGTAAACCACTTGTGTTTCACTGTTGGATAAATGCTTCTGCATGATACTAATTGACATCAAGAGGCTACTAGTGGGAAAGCTTAAAAGAAGTGTGTGAGACGCCAAATTTGGTGAAAATTTTTTCAGTATAGTGTATGGTGCAGATGCATGTAATCCGTTTATGTTACAGATGCGCAGTATCTAACCACCGGTGTGATCTTTTAATTCTCTCATTAAAAAAGCTTATTTCATTTTATCGGGGACATCCCCCAAGTGATAAAAAGTTGGCTAAATTTTGTAAAGAAAATAATAAAGACCCAAACGTTTTCAAGGGATGTCCCAACTCGTTGGAATTCAACATAAGTGAAATTATTAGAACGAGTCTTTTTCTTTATAACGATATTACGCTTTTGTTAACTAAATAATATTGGATTTAATTTATATCCATAAATTGGGATATTTTTGTACAAAAATTTTAGATATTTTAAAAATTTTTAATGATGCTACCTATAAATTTAGTGGGGTTTATTATCCCACATCTCATTTATTTTTACCTGTGTATTAATATTGTTAATGCACTCCAAGAATTTCAAAATGATGATTTATTAAAAGATTGTATTTTTTCAATGAAAAAAAAATGGTTATCTTATTTTAAAAATATAGCACCCCTTTATCTTGTTGCTATTATATTTGATCCTAGATGTAGAATGGATGTTTTATGTGATTATTTGACTATTTATTATGAAGTATTGAATCTTGATGTAGAAGATAATGTTAATATAAATGTAGTAGAAGATAATGTTAATATAAATGTAGTAATGCATGAAGTTAAACAAAATATTATGCAATTATATAATGAATTTGTTCAAGTTTCTAGTTCATCTACTTCCACAATTTTCAACATAAAGGGTAAGTGGTGTTGGTGTTGCTCAATAAGTTTCATTGCAAAGACAAAAAAGAACAAGGGAATCCAGTTCTATTTCTGAATTTGATAATTATCTAACAACTTCTTTTGAGTTTGGTGATGATTATGCTGATGCAGATTTTCCAATTTTAGATTGGTGGAGTCGTCACGCAAATACTTTTTCAATTCTTTCTTTACTTGCAAAACAAATTTTAGTAGCTCCGGTCTCCACTGTTGACTCCGGTCTCCACTGTTGTGGTTGAACAAGCTTTTAGTCAAGTAGGAAACATACTTGATGAAACATGATCTCGTATGACACTCGATTCATTAGAAGCACAATTATGCGTAGATGATTGGAGCAAAGCTGAACTAAGAGCATAAGAAAATTTAAAAGAAAATGAAGATTTATATGATTTATACAATAGGTCCTCAACGAGAATATCAACCGGTAGTGCAAATAGCGATTAAGGTAAAATGGGTGAAATTGGTATAAGATAAGTAAGAACTACGTGGGCTTTGATTCCTCTAAACCCCAAGGATACGTAAGCAACTTATTTTTTTTTTTTTTTAAAAAAAATTTACGTGAGAGTTTTTTTTAATTTATGTTTCAAACTTTTTTTAAACAAAAATAAAATTCAGTTAAATTTTTTTTAAAAAAAAAAATCATGTTCAAGTCTTAAAAAATTAAAAAAATAAATTTAATTGAAGTATTTTTTTTATTTTTTAGGTGTATTTTTTAATTTTTTATGTTCAAGTATTTTTTTTTAAAAAAATCGGTTCTCATTTCATTTAAAATTTAAAATTATGCGATTCGCTGGAAAACCGATCGGAACCGTCGGTTTAATCACCTTACCGGAACCGGAACCGTTCGGTTCCAAACCAGAATCGGAACTGAAACTTTTCGGTTCGATTCCGATTCCAGTTCTTTTGAAACCGAAACCGCAGGTTCCGGAACTTTGGTCAAGCCTAGTCTGCTACTTAAACAATTTGAAGGTTCTACGTGTCATTTTTTAATCAACAATTTCGTCACGCTATTAACAAAGAAAGGGGTAATTATTTACTCGATCTAAAAAGATAGTCAATTTTATATTTTTATATAAATTAAGAAATAATTATTATTATAGTGAAAAGAGAATTTAATTTAATTTAATTTAATCATTTAAATTTTTAAGTATTTAAGCCGCAATCATATTGTGTTAGCGTTTGGTTTTTCCTAAATTTATTATAGGCAAATAAGGTTAAATGAAAAAGAAAAAATTTTATAAAAAAAGGCCAAAAATTGACTAAACCAAACAAACCTCGGTTAGGGGATTTTTAACAGTTCAATTGATTTTTGCAATTAAAGTAATTCGATTAATTGAATGATTAAAATCTTTATAGTAAAAAACAAACCAAAGGCAAAAGGATGCTCATTGAATGACAATAATGAACTACTAATCACATTAATGTCCGCCACAATACCCATCAAAATTCACAAGCCTAAAATAGTTGTTATCCAATTGTTTCTGAGACAATATAATAAACAACGAAGACATGAAATCTTGCTTTTGAAGAAACAACTGGCCATGCCAAGATTTTATCCACACTATTCAAGGCAAGTAAACAAGCAGATCCTTGTAAACAGAAAATTAAATCTGGTTTTGATGCACCAAATGTTGATCAATACGACTTCCCGCAGTGTATCAAGCTCCCAGCACCCAAGAAAAGACCGAAAATGGCAGCGCTGCCTAGTGTTCGCTGCCTAGTGTTGTTTTGTCGCCAATTATGCCTGATCTCAAAAGTCCCGGCACTTGCATGTTTATCAAAAAAAATTAATGAACTACAGAAATAAGTTTAGAAAATATGAATAATTGATTGATTGGTTTGACATTTCAGGTCCGTGATAGCGTATTGCTTAATGCGAGTATTGACAATAGCAACAACAGTAAAATAAGAGCTTAAAAAGATCATACAGCTTGCTGGTTGCAATAACAGAATAAAGAGCATCCTAAAGCATATTTTAATGCCTTTTCAGACACCTGATTTGAGGAAAAACGGAAATTTTAGGAAGATATAAGCATGCAAAGTCCAAGGTTCCAGAAGATCCAGACGAAGAAGATAATTAAGTTGAGAACCCAGATCTGTAATTCACGATCTAACCTATTCCCAGACTGAAGAAGTGCAGCTGTAACCAAAAACTACTACAAACATAATCTTCATCTATGCACAAAAAATCACATTCCTAACTTTGCTGATCAACCAATGAGAAACAACAGCATGGCTGACCACAAAACGCATCACTAACTGTAGTCACACATTAACACTTTATGAAACTGTGCCCTATTCAATGTGAAAATAACCAAAATGTGCTTCCTGTCTGAATAGGTCCACTTATTTGTGTGCCTCAAATATTGGGCCTTAAGCAAAATTTTTTAGTTAGTCAAAGATTCCAGACCTTTTAAACTTTCGACCATTTGATCATAATGGTTAACCATTAACAGTCGATAAATACAAATGACAATAAACTTAATAAGAAACATCCATATGCTACAAGGAAGCAGGAATAACAAAAGGCTCTTTGCTGCTTTATCTTGCATGAAGGAAAAAAAAGAAGCTGTGTCATTCAAGGAATTGTAATGATTAAATGATGTTGGTCACAGTGGAGATTGGAGACATTAACCCGAAGTGCAAGCATGCATTTTGAGCTTTTGAATCATATTAAAACAAAGCAGTTAGGAATGGAAATTGGGGATACCATTGAAGAAATATATGGCTCTCAATCTTTCTTCATCCACATTGGCAATGTCCTGCTGAAAACAGCCGCTGCAAAAGCGTTATTAAGGAAATTATAGTAGATCAGGAATTGAAGTAGCTGAATTTTTTCGACAAGTTGGATTATGATGATTATGAATATTACCGCAGTCAAAGTGATATTAATGGCTGTGTAGAAAGCCTTGATTAGAAGATATCTTGAATGAGAGTGTTTCAGTTTGTATCTCAGAAATAAGGTCAAATGGAGTCTTCAATTAAATCAAAAGCAAAGAATAGACAAATAATAATAAACAACAGTAGGACCTAGACTTACGATTATCATTGTTGTGGTAGTGTTATGAGGTGGATTAAGTAGATGAACTGTATCCCAAATGGCGCAACCCAGTGAGTTAAGGGCTCAAAGTATAAATTACTAGGTATGAAGTACAAATTATTAAGCAAGTTGTGGTGGGAATCTTGGTTGAAAAAGTGGGGATAGAAAACAAAATGGTTTTGCCTACCTTTTAAGTTGACCTCTAAACGGGTTGCCGTAATAAGCACAATTGCCTCTAACCTGTACAGATAATTCTCTATTCTTCCTCTTTCAGGCCTTTAAGTGAATTCTTACAATTATTTAAGATCTGCAAAAAATCCCTCATTATTAACATTAGCACATTAAGGCTCTTTCTAGTATCGAACAAAAATAAATAAATAAATAAAAGGAGAGCATAAAGTCAGAAACTTTTTTATGTTCGCTAGATAGAAATGTAAAGGAGAAGAGTAAGGGTCACTGCAACTTTCAACAATCTACATGTAAATAGCATGCCCAGATACATAGCCTTATACCTCAACTGGCCGTCATATGTCCCATACACAGCCCCCTAAATAGGAAACCAAACAATTAGCTATAATCAATAGCAATATGATGTGCCACATCTTCAGCAAAAACCAAAATAAATAAATAAAAGAATGCATACAAGTGAATGTATTTCCCCCTGGAACTGTATTTTTCCTGCATTAGAATCTAGAATAGTAATTGCATGACTGACAAATATCATCAGAAATCTCGGCAGATTAAATGGTAATGTTGAAACAATTAAAATAATAAAACAGAATCTCCACAACCATATACAACCACAAAATATACCGTTTAAACATGCAAAAGCATAAGATGTTAAAAGGCGGGTCTTCAAATGATCTCCAATACAGGTAAAGTATAGTGTCAGTGAATCAAGAAACACAGTTTTACATTTTCCAACATGCTTTCTCTTCATGAACCGAATATTAATTTTAAACATTTTAATATCATGTACATTTCAATGAAGTATAGCTATAGTAGAGACAGAGCAGAAACGAGTACTTGCATTGCGTTTAAAGCCGCAAATTGTGGGAATCATGTTCATGTCTTTTATCCATCAATAAAATCAATAAATAAATTTATTAATTCACTGCATGTGGCTTGGAAAAGTTTTGCTTCAAAATGTTATGATTTTTATCTATTGAAATGTTCTGTCATCTCCCCCCCGGGGATGGGGAATGGGTTATATAAAATGTGTCGTTCAATAACTCAATGAAACAAAAAAAAAAAAAAAAAAAAAAAAAAAAAAAAAAAAAAAAGAACCTACACACTGGGAATAAGTTAATACTAAAATCCAAAGGTCAAATATGCATAATGAGAACTAACTGACTCAGAGAAGCAATAAGTATACAAAATAGAATGCAATCTTGAAATTAACCAACAGCCATAATGTGGGAAATTCAATTGAAATTTCTGCTCACTTTTCATGTATCGAATAACAAACCACTGGAATTCATTCAGAAATGAATTCTCCACACCCACCAATAGAATTGAACCAAAGACTAGTCAATCACCTACCTAAACAACACGTTCAAAACTGAAGCTTCCAACACAACTTCTAAGTATTCAAGTAAAACTTGTTATTTTCCTTAAAACTCCAATGTCCTTGACACCGCATCAGCAACTTCCAAATATAGCCCAAAAGAACTGCACTCCTAATAAGGTGGTTTCCAAGAGAAAATTACATAATGTCATGAACTTGTGTGCCCATGATTCAACAATCAGCTCCTTAGCCTTTCCCTTGGAAAACGAAATGGAGTCTACCATTATCATAATTCCTATTTCTGCCTTTAAATCTAATTCACTGAAAGCAAACTTCAGTGCTAAGCATAACTTCCACCGTCATCAGCAAGGCCTGTCGTTCTGGAGACGGTGTTGGAGTTCCCAGACTAATAAAATTTTGCAAAATCGAAGGTATACATAAGGTAACAAGGAGATGGAGTGGTCTGCAATTTGTTAAGCAACTCCCAATTTGGAACGTGACAAGAACCTCCCGTAGTCCTCCTCTTTCAGAAAAGAGAAAGTGCAGTCAACTGAGTCCAAACATCCATGAAGCCGAACCACTCCTTTTTGAACTAGTGCAGTGAAAGCTGCGAATTCCGCTATAATAACATGAAGCATACGATCAACTCATAGTTCTTTTCCCCAAGAAGCAACAAACAACCTCAAGAAGAGAGTGGGTCATATATAGTATTTGGGTGATTGAGCACACCATTAATAGCAAATTCCTGGCTCAAAGTTCATTATATTATCAAATTCTTTCATCAAAAAAAAGCCAGTCATTAAAACAAGGGCCCAATTATCACATTTGCCTGAAATAATTTTTTCTATCATATAATTCCAGCAACGCAGCCTAATACAGCCCATCTTCGGTATGATTTCTACTGAATAGTTTCATTAAGATGGTGTGGTGACACAACATAAAATCGACATCAATATCAACTATAAGAGTCTCCTTTTCTGGTCCAGAGAAAAACTTCTTGGCAAACCATGACTGATGACTGCTTTTGACTCCCCAAACTTTCACAACGCAAAGCAATAAACCTCAACTGGGTTTTCCATTTTCGGATGATCCGAAGCAAAAAATACCGACTCGAGTCCTAGAGCAGTACAATTGAGAAACAATCTGAAAATTCTGCAGTTACCTAAACTGCGCCGTGGGTTCACACCAAATTCCTTCCATATAGCTCGGATACAGGGACATTGAACAATCTGCAGTATGCTAAAAGGTCCTCTCCCAATTTCAAACAGCAATGAAGATTGCTCCCTCAACAATCTTAAGCACAAACTCAATTCTCCAATATTTCAGTGACTCAATTTTTTCATTGCTGAGTAACCTACAATGATCAGCTAACGAACCTAAGAAATGCCAACAATGCACAGTCAGGAACCAATGGCTCTTCTGCTAATATGAACAAGTTCCCATTTACTCAGAAAAGATTCACCAATAAACATAACCACAAATTTCATCACTAAAAATCCCCACTGATAATTGCCTCAACAAAGCCCCGAATATAATCCCGATCAAAACAATTCCTAAAAACATAACCATTTACTTTAGCAACCGCAGATCAATAGATCTTAACTGTAAAGCATAGAAGCTTGATACAACTCATTAACGATTTGATAACTCAAACTAATAAAAAATGCATACCCATCAGTACAATGGCTGCAAATACTTAAATAATGTGGTTTTAGCCAACTGAGGTAGTTAAAACCCATAAAGGAATTGGCATGGTTGAGGCTGTAAGTTTCTGCAGGCTTGGGGATAGAAAGGGGAAAAGGGGGCCTTAGTTTACGCTTCAAGCTCTTCAACATGCTCTCTTTAACGAGACCCTAGTTGGGTTTTTTGCCTCATAAGAACCCAAAATGTCCCATACAGGAGCCCCTAAATGGAAACCAAACAAAGCTATAATCAATAAGCATCGAGTAACGCACACTCAGCATCTAACCAGAAATAACTATATTATAGACAGATGCACACAGTTGGAATATATTACCGAACCTAGAAACTTATTCCCCTTTCCAGCATTTAAATCTAAAAAATTGTTATGCATCGACTGGAAAAAATTATCAGAAATCCTCACAGATGTAAATGAATATGGTTGAAAAAAATAAATATCAAAACAGAAATATCGACTAGCCATATACTAACCACAAAAGTATACGTTTGAAAACATGCAGCCATAAGATGTTTAAAACGGTGTCTTTCACATGCATCCAAATGTGGTTAACTAAAGTAATCAAAATCAAGAAACACAGTTAACATTTTCAACATGCTTCTCTCATCACAGCGAATATTGAGTTCTACATCTATATCATGACATCTCAAGAAGTACGCTATAAGTAGAGATATAAGCCGAAAATTGAGCACTGCATTGGTCGCTTAGCAGAACCACAGTTGTGGAATCAATTGTTCATGTGTCTTTTATCCAGCTAAAAAACAGATAAGATAAATATGATCCACCAATGAGGCTGGAAAAGTTGTGGCCGCAAATTATCTATTGAAATTTCTGCATTTCCCCCTAATGAAGGGAAAGTTTATAAAACGTTTGTCCGAATCTTATAACGAAAAAAAAAAAAAAATTTCTACATTGATAATAAGGTAATATTAAACAGAAGGTCCAAGCATGCATAACCCAAATATTGATCAGTTGAAATAATTACAAAATAGATCCTTGTGGAATTATATCTGCAAACAGCCATAACTGTACGATTCAATTGAGACTCTGCATTTTTAATTATAGTCAAACCAAACACTGGAATTCATTCAGAAATGATTCTTCCCACAAGCCCAAATAGAATGAACCAAAAGAATGTGTGCAATCAGGCTAGTTAAACAACACATGTTCAAAAACTGAAGCCTCTGGATCGAAGACTTCAATGTATTTTTCAAAGTAAAAATTTGAATTTTTCCTAAACCCATACTGGACCCAGCATGCAGCACTCCATATTAGACAAAAGCACTTATCCTAATGACGATGGTTTCCCCAAGAAAATTACCTAATCCATCGAGACATTGGCCCATATGTCCAACAATCACTCCTAAGCCTTCCCCTTGGAAAAATGAAATGGAAGGTCTTACCACGATAAATAATTCCTATTTCTGCTTTAAACTAATTCCAAAACTGAAGCAAAGCCACCCCACATTTAATGCACAATTCCAGACCCCCAACAAAAGCCATAGCAAAGAAAAAACAAATTCATGACCAAATAGAATTGGAGAAACGAAGAAAAGAAACCACCCAAAGAAAACCAATTACAAGACGAAGCACAATCAAGCAAACTATCGGACGTAAGAAGGTTTAGGATGCTTAGCTTTAAAAGAGTTACCGCGCAAGCGCCACCATACAGCGCCTCCCAACTGCGACTGGCCGGCGGTCCAACACGAAAGCCAGACAACTATCCCTCGCCAGAGATCTATCTAGAGTTTTGGGAGATTGATATTAATTCCGTTTGGCTCCTTGCTGTTCGATCACCTAACTGCTATGTTACGGACTCATAGGCGGCGACTTATCTTATGAGTGGGATTGTTCTGCAGTCCTAAAGCTTCAATTGGTTTTCAGTAAAATATTTTTATGAAAATAAAAAATTTTTTTAATTTTTTAAATAATTATTTTCTGTTATTTTAATATCGATATTGAAAAATTAGTCAAATATTAGAAAGCTTTATCTAATAGATTTATAAAAAAGTATTAATCAAATAATAATAAATTTTATAATTTAAAAATTTTTATTGTTAAATATAAAAGAATGAGCAAAAGAAAAATATAAATTATGAAAAAGTGTTGGTGGCTGTGTTATAATATAAAAAGAAATGCCAAAAGAAAATATAAATATGAAAAGCGCCCAGTTGGGCCGTGTGGTAATCGGTGATAAATGGTGACTAGTGGTAGTGCCCTATGATGATTAATGAAATAAAAAATATCAAACCTTATAAAGTTTCAATAATCGTGAAAATATTTTACTCTCTCGAAAAATGGAAGAGTTGTTTTCCTTTACAATGACTTAAATTTTCCTTTCCGAAGAAAAATATTTATTCCGTTGGACTTATTTGTATCATAAATTAAAACATTCCATCCTTCTCTTTAATTTATTTACCTATCTATAATCTATATTATAATTCTTAATTTAATTAAATCTATCTTATTATCTTACTAAATATATAAAATGGGATGAGTGCCGGGATATAATAAGATTTTCTACATTGTTCTTATAAAGATTTTAGATACTCGAAAAATAACCTTGGTCATGGTCAATTAAAAAATTTTTTAATAATATATATATATATAGTATCAAATATCTCTAATATCTATTGATTGGGGATGTTTTTTTAATTTTTCTTTAGTAGATAAATATTAAATAGATAATTAGCATTTGAAAATTTAAATTTTACTATTAGTTATCCTATTACGTCTCTAATTAATGTTTTCATCTTTAATAATATAATTATAAATAATAATTAACTAAATTTTTATTTTTAATTTTTATTTACTAATTTATTGGTAATTTATCTCTACCAAACAATTTATAATGAGACCGCTAAAAATAAAACGTAAAATAAAACATGTTATGAATGAAATATAAATCAATTTGTATTTAAACAAAGACATAAAAACAATTAAGCAATATAGTAAAAAAAAAATAAAATATGAAACCAGTATGTTGAAAGTAATATAAAGTGATGAGATTTTATATTTAAAATGGCTATTTAAAAGAAGAAACAATAATATCAATTATTTGTTCAATGAGATATTGACAGTGCAAGATTATATAATTAAAAAATTATTTTACTGTATATATTTAAAATATTATATTTATTTATTGCTAATCCAAAATCTTATTTTTGGACTTTAATTATGATAAATAAAAAAGTCAAATGAGTAAATAAAAAATGAGCCAACAATGAGTATAGTCAGCGTGCATCATACGTTACATAAAAAAGAATAGTACTCTATATAAATGTGGGAAAAGGAAAAATAATTGGATGTTTCTTAATAGTCCTTAGATTAATTTACAATTTCTAAGTATATCTATTTAATTGTTTATATGAAATATAGAAAAATTAGGGAGACGAAGTAAAGAGAGAGTAGAGAGAAAATAGAGAGGTGCCAGTATTATTAATGAGTAAGCTACATATATATATAGTTATACCATATTATTAATTGAGAAGGCCCATATATATATAATTATATTTTAAGTGGAACCCTAATAGAAGTCATATATAGATCAGGAAAATAGAGTTCACAATAATTAAAAATACAGGACTTGTATGCACATATAACCGCTCCCCTTGAATGTCCATTCTTCAAAGAATATGTTTCGTTAAAAATCTCCTAAAGAAAAAAATCTGGAAAGAAAAATCTTTCAGTGGGAAAGAAAAAGAGTAATATTATTTTTTTTTCTTAAATACGTGTTGAAAATACTGGTTCAATAAAAACATCTACTAGGAAAAGTCTAGTGGGAAAAAACCCAATGTCAAAGGCAAAAAAGAATAATAGGCAGTCCAATTTTGTTTGTCATTCTTTAAAACTTGTGGTAGAAAAATTTTATAAGTAAAAGTAGAGAATATGTTATGAGCAAATCGACGATATCGTTGCTTGACCTGTTAACTTCAATATCTTTGGAGATGATGAATAATGAAAAAGCTTTGGGTGAAATAATTTTTCTTATCTCCTCAAAACATGTCCTTTTTTGATAGACACATTCTCTTTCTTCATGAGTTTGCCTAAATTTCTGTATGACTAAAAGAAGTAAGTAATGATACTTCATCCCTTGAATGTCATGAAATAATTGTATTTCAACCATGTTTGGAATGAATGACTTGTTTATTATCGTAACATAATGGTGGTTATGCACAAAATAACCTGTATTTTCATATTCAATTAAAAATGATTTGGAACAAGGTTAATTTTGTAAATAAATTAAATTCCCCCCCCCCCCCCCCCAAATCTATCATTCGTGGAGATATCAAAATTATATATTTTAACCTTAATTCAATTTCTTCATATTCAATATAGAACTATCTTACAAATAAAATTTATAAAAATTACAAGCATATTATTAGTGTCTTTAAATTGCACTAAAATATGATACTTTAGGACCAATATCTCTATAATCTGCTCTAATAGTGAAAATTGGTCATTTTCTTATCAAGTTGACCTCCCACCCAAAAAGCTACATTCAAATTCACATAAGAATCGTTTAATGAATAACTTAGTTATCTATTTCGGATTATTGAAGCAGAATTTCATCTTATGAAATGAAATGCTCGAACTTTAGGCCCGAAATAAAATTATATTCAATATCTCATCTCTGTCAACGATCCCGTTTCCCGTGGGCCGGACCGGCACTAGGGCCCAGGTAAGCATGAAGGCCCGAGGCCGTAGTAAAGGCTAATTACTTAAGTGATACAGTTCCCTACCATTTAATAGAAAACAGGTAAAGCTCATACAAGTTAAGATATAGAACGTAAATAATCCTGCTTATGCAACCCGGTCTCCGGTCGACAATGTTTTCAATCGATTCTTGCTTCTCATATTTAAAATATTTAAGATCGGTGGGCTCAGTAGAAATGTTTATTAACTAAACTGAGTTCATGAAACACTAAGGGCATACTGGACTTCTCCGTGCTCCTAGATATAATACAACCAACCCG